TTAAACCATTTCAAGAATATATATATATACTTTAAAACATCATATTGTACATGATAAATTTATATAATTTGACATGGCAATTTAAAAAATAAATTTGAAAAAATTGCTTTAAACGGCGTCCTAAGCATACACAAAAAAAGAGAAGTCAAAAAAAATTTTATCTCAAGGACGTTGGTAATTTTTTTTTTTTTTTTTTTTTTTTTTTTTGAGACAGAGTCTCGCGTTTGTTTCCAGGCTAGAGTTTGAGTTGCGTGGGTCAGCTAGCTTCCACAGCAACCTCGAAACTCCTGGCTTGAGCGATCCTTCTGCGCGGCCTCCGAGTAGCTGGACTACAGCATTGCGCCAACCATCCCGGCTAATTTTTTTTGTTATATATAATGATCAGTGGCCCAATTATTCTTGTCTATTAATGAGTAGAACGGGGGTCGCCTCTTGCTCAGGCTGGTTTTGAACTCCTGACCTCTAGCAATCCGCCCGCCTCGGCCTCCCAGAGAGCTAGGATTACAGGCGTGAGCCACCGCGCCCGGCCTAGGACGTTGGTACTTTGAGAGAAGTTTGACAACCTCCTCATTTGCTGGTAAATTAATAAACTCCTCTTTCCTTCTCCTCAAGCCACTTGTCGTTGTTCTTCTGATGCAGTCTTGGGGACAAGTGCCAAACTTTTGGTAACAGAATTTGGCATCTCTGGGAGGGACCATCAGCACCCCAGTGGAGTGGCACCCCACTACTGCTGGAAGAGTCAGGGAGCAGCCCTGGGTCAGAGCTGTGGGTCTTCCCAGGAAGGAGCAACTTCTTCCCGAGGTGCGAGAGCAAGGGACCGACGGCCTCAGCAGCTGCGGAGCCTGTTTTAGCCCCAGGGACCTCTCATCTCTTGTATCCCCAAAGTAGACACAGCTCCCCACAACCTGAACTAAGTTGAGGAAAAGGAAATAGATTTGGGAAACTTCACATCAGCCAAGGCTATTTGTAAGTAAAGTTCCCCAGGACACTGAGACCCTGTTTCTTCCCATATTGGGGGGGGGGTCAGACTTCCCTGTTGGATTTGTTTTGAGGTGCCAATTTGAGGTTGGATGGAACTAGGGAACCTGTTTGAACTGAGCTCATTTGTGGTTTCCATGGAACCAAGAGGGATTGGAAGATGTTGGTTCTTTTGTTTTTGGTTTGTCCTCTTTTGGATTAGGAGATGCTGATTCTCAATTGAGAATTTGGTTCTTGATTTGTGGTTCCCATTTGTTCAGCTGTGGCATTTTATATGGGGGATTTCCTATATTGTCTGTGTTTGTAAAGTTTTGTTGCAACATAGAAAAGCTTCATCTCAAAGTCCCTTGGGAAAAACTCTGGCTGAATGGTTAACTTGTAGCTAGGAACCTATGTGTAAAGAGAATAGTGTTATTATAATCCAATGTATCTGCTGGAGTGTGAGGACAAGTGTCTGTTAAATGAAAATTCCCGTTTGATTGACACACCTTGGCATTTTAGATTGTGTTGGGAATTTCCTATTGTTTGTGTTTGATTGTTTGTGAGTTTTTGTCTAATGAGTTTTTGTACCTATGTCTAAAGATTATTGTGATACTACTTGTCTGGGGTGTGAGGAAAAGTGGTGGTTGATGGTCCATGCTTTATTCTGGGCTGGTGGTTCTTTTAAAATTCAGAGCTTCGGCCAGGCGCAGTGGCTCATGCCTATAATCCTAGCACTCTGGGAGGCCGAGGAAGGAGGATTGCTCAAGGTCAGGAGTTCGAAACCAGCCTGAGCAAGAGAGAGACCCCATCTCTGCTATAAATAGAAAGAAATGAATTGGCCAACTAAAAAAAAAATATATATATATATATATATATAATTAGCCAGGCATGGTGGCGCATGCCTGCAGTCCCAGCTACTTGGGAGGCTGAGACAGAAGGATTGCTTGAGCCCAGGACTTTGAGGTTGCTGTGAGCTAGGTTGATGCCACAGCACTCTAGCCTGGACAACAGAGTGAGACTCTGTCTCAAAAAAAAAAAAAGATTTGGAACTTGAATAATTATTTTATTTATTATTTTATTATCCTTTTTCTGCATGCCTCAAAAATTTAATAGCAAAAGCGGAAGAAAAATAGCAGATAATCAAAAACTGTGATTAATAGGAAGTCCACACAGTTTAGAAGCCAGATATATGACTTTCTTATTTATAAATTTTCTAACTTGGAAAAAGGTTTAATAATGGGGACTTATCTTTTCTTCGGAGATGAAATTATGGGTTATTAAACCATCCACTTAGTAACTGATTTATTTAAATCTCAGAAACTAAGAGAAAAATAAGAATAAAGGTAACCATATAGTCAGTCATTTTTAATGGCAAACTGGTACAAAATGTCTTTCTGCCACTGTGATAGTGGTTAAAGGCAAAAGAAAAAAAATAGCTGAGAGGAAAAGAAACCTGGTAGTTTGATCATGATTGAAACCAAATGTCCCAGAGGTAAAGGCCTGGGGAAAAAAAAAAGAATGAAAATGAACAAAATCCAAATCTATAATCTTCAGGGGTAAGATCTCTGCTTTCAGTGGTATGTAACCCAATATCAAAAGCCAGCTCACCATGATGCTGCCTCCCTTGTGTTTGGGCACAGTTTTCTTCATGAGTGTTATGTGGCACGAGTTTTCTGTTTTTCTCCACAGCTTCTCAAATTTTGGACCAGAAAAGACTTGGCCCCAGAACCCCTTGGTTATAGTTTGTGCTAAATAAGCCTCATTTCCTGTTTTCTCTCTTATCTTTTTTTTTTTTTTTTTTTTTTTTGAGACAGAGTCTCGCTTTGTTGCCTTGGCTAGAGTGAGTGCCGTGGCATCAGCCTAGCTCACAGCAACCTGAAACTCCTGGGCTCAAGCAATCCTCCTGCCTCAGCCTCCTGAGTAGCTGGGACTACAGGCATGCGCCACCATGCCCGGCTATTTTTTTCTATATATATTAGTTAGCCAATTAATTTCTTTCTATTTATAGTAGAGACGGGTCTCGCTCAGGCTGGTTTTGAACTCCTGACCTCCTCCTGACCTCGAGCAATCTGCTGGCCTCCGCCTCCCAGAGTGCTAGGATTACAGGTGTGAGCTACCTCTCCGGGCCTATTTTCTCTCTTATCTTACACAGCAACTGGTAGAAGAGGAGCAGGATGCGACAGTTAGAGGGAATTTTGCAACAATAACGAAAGCGGTTACTCTGAGCCTTAAGCTGATTTGCTCATTTTCATTTCATTATCTCTTACAAATAATACTTAAAATGGACAGAAGCTATACAGATACCAGAGAGTAGGAAAGGTCCCTGGCTCCTGTAACAGTGTCAATGAGCAGCCTGTTTGGCCACTTCAGGCCGAGGGTAAGTTTTGGTTTTGTTTTTAATTAAAGTCATCTCTCTAATCAAGATCTTGAATTTGGTTTTGAGTTTTATAATTTTATATCTACTTCATACCTTTATAAATCTCACCTAAAAGAAAGGCTGAACTATATAGGGCAGCCAAAATTTAGAAAATGGTGTGATTATTTAGGACAAAATGAGGAAAGGGGCAAGTTGTTTGGAAATTCTACTTTCAAGCTGGGTACGTGGCTTACTCCTATAATCCCAGCACTTTGGGAGGAAGGGAAGAATCACTTGAGGTCAGGAGTTCAAGGCCAGCCTGGGCAATATAGCATAGGCCCCGTCTCTACAAAAAATTTAAAAATTAGCCTGGTGTGGGCTGTGGGCCTGTAGTCTACTCGGGAGACTAAGCAGGAGAATCACTTGCTGTGATCACATTACTGAACTGCAGCCTGGGTGACAGCAGGAACCTATCTTAAGAAAGGAAAGGAAAGATATGAAATGAAACAAAATGCTGCTTTCACTAAGTACAATATGGAATCAGTTCCTTCACAGTTCTACTATAGCAAATGAGTTGCTTTTCATGACATTTAAATTTGTGCCTAGCCAGAAGCTCATTTTTATAGTGTTTTCTACTGACTTTCCAGCAGAAAATTAGGCTTTTTTACTATTTTATTTTATTTTATTTTGAGACAGAGTCTCACTTTTGTTGCCTTGGCTAGAGTGAGTGCCGTGGCGTCAGCCTGGCTCACAGCAACCTCAATCTCCGGGGCTCAAGCGATCCTCCTGCCTCAGCCTCCCAAGTAGCTGGGACTACAGGCATGCACCACCATGCCCGGCTAATTTTTTGTATATATATATTTTAGTTGGTCAATTAATTTCTTTCTATTTTTAGTAGAGACGGGGTCTCGCTCAGGATGGTTTCGAACTCCCAACCTCGAGCAATCCGCCCACCTCGGCCTCCCAGAGTGCTAGGATTACAGGCGTGAGCCACCGCGCCCGGCCTACTATTTTATTTTATATTTTATTTTATTTAAATTTTTGAGACAGGGTCTTTCTTGCTCTGTCACCCAGGCTAAATGCAGTGGTGTCATAGCTCACTGCAAGCTCAAACACCTGAGCTCAAGCAATTCTCCTGCCTCAGCCTCCTGAATAGCTGAGACAACAGCCATATGCCTAGCTAATTTTTGTATTTTTTATAAAGTTGGGGCCTTGCTCTTGCTCAGACTGGTCTTGAACGCCTGGCCTCAAGCAATCCCCTTACCACCACTGCCTAGGCCTCCCACAGTGCTGGGATTACAGATCTGAGCCACTGCACCCAGCGAGACTTGAGGTTTTTGATTCAAAATATCCTACATTCCACCATTATCTCTCCCCACTCCCCTCAGTGTCCTTCATTATTATTTATCTAATGAGTAATCTAACTCAATACAGCTCTGTGATAGACATTGGGAATTGGCAACCCAGGCCATTCACAGTGTCCTATTTTCTTGCCTTTTTAAACTATAGAGGCTGGAAAGCAAAATACTTTATTTTCCGTTTTTGCTGCTGGGGTGGCCATATAATTCAGTTCTGGCCAATGAATTTTAAAGTGTCCCTTTGCAGATAAAAAGGGATAGATACAACTGGCAGGATTCTTTTGTCCCTTTGTCCCTGTTGCTTCTTCCCCTTTCTTCCTGCCTAGGAAGCAGACATGAGGCCTGGAGATACAACAGCTCGTTGGTGACATGAATGACAAGCATGCGGAGAAAAGCCCATAAGCTAAGAAAGGCGGAACAGAAAGACTGAAAGAGCCTTGGTCCGTGTGCCTGTTTCTTCACAGCTGTACCAGTGCTGGACTGCTCAGCTCTGGACTTCTCATTATGTAAGAAAATTAAAACTCTTTTTTGCTAACATACTATTGTTACTTGTTCTTGAAACAGGTATCCTGGTATTTGCAACCAAAAGCACTCTAATAAGCCAATTGTTAGACTTTCATATTTTAAGAGGTGGGAGAGGTGGCTCATGCCTGTAATCCTAGCACTCTGGGAGGCCAAGGCGGGAGGATCACTCAAGGTCAGGAGTTCAAGACCAGCCTGAGCAAGAGCGAGACCTCGTCTCTACTGAAAATAGAAAGAAATTAGCAGAACAAGTAAAAATATATAGAAAAAACTAGCCAGGACTGGGTGCAGTGGCTCACATCTGTAATCCTAGCACTCTGGGAGGCCAAGGCGGCGGATCGTTCAAAGTCAGGAGTTCGATACCGGCCTGAGCAAGAGCAAACCAGCCCATCTCTACTAAAAAAAAAAAACAGAAAGAAATTAATTGGCCAACTAAAAATACATAGAAAAAATTAGCCAGGCATGGTGGCTCATGCGTGTAGTCCCAGCTACTCGTGAGGCTGAGGCAGAAGGATTGCTTGAGCCCAGGAGTTTGAGATTGCTGTGAGCTAGGCTGACCACAGCACTCTAACCCAAGCAACAGAGTGAGACTCTGTCTCAAAAAAATAAATAAATAAAATAAAATAATTTAAACATGTCAATGTCAAAGTGAGTTTATTTTAATGTCCAGGGGCTGCTACTTGTGCATAGGAAAGACCATTTATAGTTAGTTGAATTTTAAATTATAATAATTATTATATAATTATTTATTAAAGAGATACCCTTTTCTTAAACTTTTAAGTTTAATTTACAATATTTTAGATTACTTATAATAAATGCCATATTAGAGATGGATGCAAAGAGAAAGAAAAAGAAAACATTGTTTCACAGAGAAGCATTTGATTTAGACCTTGAAGATTGAGAAAAAAATGAAAATTCCAGGCAGAAAGACTAGCACATAAAGTCAGAGACATGAAAGACCATGACATGTTAGATGGGTGTGCAGGAGAAATACAGATGGAGCCAGAAAGGAAATTGAGGCCAAATTATTTAAAGTCTTATATAATAGACTAGGTAGTTGCAAGTTTATCCTATAGAAAGCTGGAAGTCTAAGAGTGCTTTATCATAATACGGATATTTTAAAAAGATGCTCTGCAGCTATGAGAAAAAGAGATTGGAGGAGGCCGTTGGTAAAGAGGCTATTCAGAGACTATTGCAGTATAATCATTATAATAATAATATATTTTTTTAAACAGAGTCTTTCTCTGTTGCCTGGGCTAGAGTGCCTTGACGTCAGCCTAGCTCACAGCATCCTCAAACTCTTGGTCTCAAGCGATCCTCCTGCCTTGGGCAAAGTGCTAGGATTACAGGCGTGAGCCACCGTGCCCCGCCTATTGCAGTATACTTAATGAGAGAGGATAAGGGTCTAAACAAAGTGAAGACCCCACTGTGTAGGCTGTGGTGGACCCCCAGGGCAGGGGACCAATGGAGGAAAAAGCAGAGGCTCAGGGTAAACAGAGCTGAGGGGAAGTTAAGTCTGTAAGGAAAAGGGGCCAATGTTACCAAGAAGCATTGCCACGGCTGTGAAGGATCGTGTGCTAACTGCTGCAGGCTGCAACTTCAGAAGCCAGCAGAGCACATAGAGAACAGGTGGACAAGGACACAGAGAAGGCAAAGGACCCAGGCAGGGGACCCAGATGAGGACTCTGGCTCTTCATGATGTGATGAAGATCCCTACTCAAACACCTGCTCACCATGTTAGAAGAATAAGCAGGAAGAGGGGGAGGTTGTCTGAGAAGTGTATTATATGTATCCTAGAGAAACTGAACATATCTAAAGAATCATTTCAGTTATCAACATTACCATTCATTAAATCAGACTGGACATTTAGATAGTTCCTACCACCACTTACCACCACACCAAGTGAGTGGGTGCTCAAGAGAAGACCAGATCAGTTGTGGACAAAATCCACAAAATCCACTTTATCTGCAAAACAAAGTTGTAGCACAAGTTAAATTATGCAATTCTGATACAGAATCACAGAAAAAGAAGAGTTGAAGAGAGAAACTTTGGCTGGTTATGTCCAGCACTGTCCGGGGAAGACACTGAATGCAGGGATGTCATCCATCTGGTCATCAGGGAGGAACTCCTGCTGGTGAAGCAGGTACACCTCTTTGGGCCTGCTTCTGGCCAGCTCTTTGCTCCAACTCATGCTCCCCAAATGGCCCTTGACTACTAATTCATCTAATTCATCATCACCAGTTCTTCAACACTAGAAAAAGGAGATAACAACATTCCAGGCCCTGCAAGAGGATAACCCCTTTTAAAGACACAGACTGGACACAGACACATTTATTTCTTCATTTATTTTCTATCAGTCTCTTAAGAGTATGGCTGGTGTTCGTCTTCATAAGCAAGATGAATCCTGGGGCGCTGACAAGACAGCTTCTTGCCTGAAAAGCTGAGGACCAGACCTTGGACCCAGGCGAATTCACACTCTGGTGATCATTTGGCCAATCTCTCCTGGCATCACCACTAAATTCACGTCCCGTCCCTTTAATCAGTGTCGTTTCATAGTGCCAACTCCATCGGTATCCACCGAGGATGGAAAAAGAAGCTCGTGGAAGTAGAACACAGTCCAACCAGGTGCACATATTTCCTCTGAGCTCCTGTGCTTGCCCCGAGACACGCTGCAGGTGTGTTGGCCGAGCTGTCCCCTCAATGACTCATCCCTGAACTGCTTCCCATAGCCCATTCCACTTCACTCTGACCCACTCGGAGTTCTGGCTGCTGCTTTTTATATTCCTTCCATTTATTTCCCCACTGTTCCCATTGGATTTGACCTCGAATGACTCAAAAAGCCTTGGGTGACGCCTTGCCAATTTCAGCCTGTCTCCCTCTGTCCCAGCCCTGAGCAGAAGCCCTGCTCTCCTGCCCGGCCTGCCCTGGCCCTGCGACAGGCCTTAGAACCACAGAACCATCCAGGGCACACTCACCATGTCAGAATAGGGTCAAGTTGGGATCAACCAAGCTAGATGCGAAGGTCCCAGCACTTTCCAGAACCTTTGGCCAGGCTCTGCCTCAGGGATCTGAGATCAGCACACTTTACAGAAAGGGAAACATGCAGCAGCAGTGGCGATTTCCAGGGGAGGCTTTGAGAAAGTAGCTGCTTCGGTAAATAGCATCTGCGAGCGAAGCTGATCCCGTCGCAGTGGTTACGGAATGACCAGCACTGCACTGTGGCCGCAGCGGCTCTAGCTCACAGCCAAGTCACACCAGCTCGACATGTTCCCTGTTCGTTACTTGCTATTTTGGGGTACATACCGGAGCCAAGCCAGCCTGAGCTGGAATACCAGCCCTGCCTCGTTGGCCCCAGTCTTCTCTGAGTCTCGAATTTTTCAGCTATGAAATGACAATGATTACGCCTCCTTCACAGATAAAAATGGGTGGCATGCACATCGCCTGACATGCAGCAGACACTGACTGATGCTAATTCTGGTACCTTTGCCTGAGAGTCTGATTCCAGCCTGAGGCAGAATCTCCAGGATCCTGGAAGGTGTGCCTCACCAAAGGGTCCTCTGTACTCAGTCGTCCTTCGTCCTTGTCCTTAAGGGGAAAGTCACAGCCTGTGTCAGATTTGGGGCTCTTCCTTCGGAGCATGATTGAATAGGCTTCTGGGATGGAGAGGTGTTGGGGGCGGGGGGCCTTAAGAAAATGCTTACTCTCACAACTGTATCAACTGCCTTTAGAGGCAGAAAAAAAAAAAAAGAAAATGCTTACTCCTTGGGTTTCAAACTTTAGTGAGCATGGGAATCACTTAGGGAATTTATTTAAAATAGATGCCCATGGCTTGGTGTGGTGGCTCACACCTGTAATCCTAGCTCTCCGGGAGGCCGAGGTGGAAGGATGGCTCAAGGTCAGGAGTTCGAAACCAACCTGAACAAGAGCAAGACCCCGTCTCTACTAAAAATAGAAAGAAATTAATTGGCCAACTAATATATATAGAAAACATTAGCCGGGCATGGTGGCGCATGCCTGTAGTCCCAGCTACTCGGGAGGCTGAGGCAGGAGGATCGCTTGAGCCTAGGAGTTTGAGGTTGCTGTGAGCTAGGCTGACGCCACGGCACTCTAGCCCGGGCAACAGTGTGAGACTCTGTCTCAAAAAATAAATAAATAAATAAAAATAGATGCCTTGGGTCCCTCCCCAGACTTCCTGCTGTTAAATGAAATTTACAGGAGGCCATTGGTTTGGCCGAGATCCTGCACCAGGCCCAATAGGCCAAACCAAAATGAAATCACTTGTGCTAAAGTTGCACAGCACCAAGCCAAAACTAAGTTGTTTATCTGACCTTCCCAGAAATCAGAAGAGAGAGAGAATAGCCAAATCCCCAAACAGACAAGTTTCAGCTGACACGATAAGGAAGTCCCCTCCACTGTAACCTTTACAAGGAAAGTAAATTTGAAACCACCAATCCTCTTTTCGTTCTCTGTTTCTGCTTTCCTCAGCCCTTTTCTGTCTATAAAGCCAAACTCCTCTGCTCAGCTCATCAAAACATTCATTCTATTTTACAGAATGGGATGTCGCCCAATTCTAGAATCGCAATTAAAAACCCAGTTATGATTTTAAAACAGAATTTCTTGTAATTTTGTCTTTTGACGCTTCTAAGAGTCATGGAGTCAGACCCAGGAATCTGTATTTTGTTTATTTATTCTCTATTTTTTGATTTTTTTTAAAGCCAAATAGGATTCTGTATTTTTAATAAGCTTCCCTGAATATTGTATTGTGCACCAAGGTTTGAGAACCACTGCTCTGTTCCTCCTTCTGCTTCCTTGACATTGTTACCCTCTGAAAACAGAGGGCAGGCCTAGCTGGAGTCTGGTTGCAGTCTGGTTGCGGGATACTTGGTCTTGTTGTCCCTGGTTCCTGGCACAGAGCCCTAAACCCCTTGCAATCTCCTGAGTTATAAGCATGTCTTTTATATATTAATGATTCATGGGGCAGGGT